TTTACAGCTGCTTATTCAGAATTTCTGGTCCACCTTAAATGCTGCACAGCTGAATGCAATGACGTGATTGCGCCTGTAGAGAGACTCATTTAGCAAGGCTTACCTTCAGAACAATTTTGATTCGTATTAACTGACCACAGGCCAGCTGACTTATCACTTTGAGGAAAGTACATATCTGGGCAGTGTCAGTAATAGTATGTGTGTACTTCATTAGAAAATGAGACAACCCAATTCTGAATCATCTCCGTCCATCTCTATAGCTGTCACGACCAGCTCGTCCGATCCTCCTGTGTGCCATGCCCCTCTGGTTACCTCATGTGAATTCCTGATTGTTCTCGGCTGTGCTAGCTGCCGAACCTTGCAAAAGCCTCTGTGGCGCTTGCACACAGGAGGAGAAAGAAGCGGAAAGACAGACGGGAGGACACGCCGGGTGTCTTCATGGGGTCCATTTTGGTCTCCGCTGCCTCCCCTGCAGTGAGTCGGGAGGAGCCCGTTGCGATATTTGACCAGACAGTGTTCGCGTTACTGGGACACCCCGCTGCTTCGCTGTCTGCACCAGAAACCCGACTGCCCGCTGTTTCACTGTCTGCGCCTGAAGCCCATCTGCCCACTGCTTCACTGTCTGCGCCTGAAGCCCGTCTACCCGCTGCTTCGCTGTCGGTGCCTGAAGCCTGCGCTATCATGCCTGTTCCCGAGTCGGCACCCGAAGCCGCGGCTCCAGCTCAGCCCCCCGTGGTTCCTGTCCTGGTGGTTCCTGCTCAGCCCCCCGTGGTTTCTGTCCCGGCGGTTCCTGCTAAGCCCCCTGTGGTTCGAGCTCCCATCCTCCTGGCTCCCAACCCTGAGGAGGTCCCTGATTCCCTGTTCCTGTCCCAGTTCCCATGCCCCCTGTCCCCGAGGAGGTTCTGATCTGTCAGTCCACCCCTCCTTCTCTCATGGTGGAGATGGAGGAGCTTGAGTGGGACCCCTCGGGGATTTCCCTGATGACTGCCCCAATGGGTCACCCAGACCACCTCCCCACCATGGCAGATCCCGACCGGGTCCCCGTCTCTCGGCCTCCCGGCTTCGGGGTCGGGTCCCACCTGCCCTGCTCCCTTGCTCGCCTTTGGTCCCCTTGGCTTCGGCTCGGCGGTTGCCTGCAGTTCCTTTGGCTCCTGCTCAGTGGTCGCCTGCGATCCCCCTGACTCGTGCTCGGCAGTTGCCTGCGGTTCCATATGTGGTGACTCACCGGGCGGTTGCAGTCCTGCCTCCGACTCCTTGTCGGTCGTCTGCAGTTCCCCCAGCTCTGCCTCATCGGTCTTTTGTGCCTTCACTGGCTGTGGCTCTGCCTTCTCCTGCTGCGGCTTCTGCTCCCTTATTGAGTCCTCCAGTGTCTCCTTCGCCTCCCTCCTTGCCTTCTCCAGTAGTCCCTCTGCCTTCCTCGCCCCCTTCAGCGTCCCTTCCGGCTCTGGCCTCGCGGTCGCCTGTGGCCCCTGCAGCTCCCACCTTCTGGCTCCCTGGTTCCCCTCCCCCCTTTCGCTTCTTTGTCACCTGTTTTCGTGCCCCCTGTACTTGCTGCCCATCCCCCTGTTCTGCCTTTGTTCCCTCCTGGTCCCTTCCCTCCTTTTGCCCCCTGTTGTTGTCCCTCCGTTGTTTCTATCTCTGGAACCCCTGTCTCTGTCCATGTTCCCTGTGGTATGTCAGGTGGCGTCCTGGTTGCTGTCTTTGTGTCTGTTCTGCGTGATGGTCCAGTGCCCCGTGCCTCGTTAATGTTTTTTGCTTCCGGATATTATTATTATTATAGGGATATTATTAGCCAACCTTTAACTTTAGCTATTTCAGAAATCATTATCTGCTGGTGTGGTACCTTCTGATTGGAGGTATGCCAATATAACGCCCATATATAAAAAAATATGAATAGAAGTAATCCAGCAAACTATAGGCCAATCAGTTTAACTTTCATAACTGGAAAAGTAATGGAACTGATAATCTACAAAATGGTAAGTGAAAATGGTAAATTACCTGGATTCAAATAACATTCTGAGGGATAGCCAACATGAATTCAGGAGAGGTAGATCTTGTTTAGGATTTTAGATTATGTTCTTAATGTTCTGTAGGTCTTGATTAAAGGGGATTTCACCAACCAGAAGCTCGTACCTGTATTGTGAATGGCAGCAAAGGATTTTGAGGTTTTTTACATATTACAAAAATGCTGCACTCTTGCACATTTCAGGTACCAGGGATTCAGTAAAAAGCAGCTACTTCTTCCTCTGCTTCAACTTGGTTACCAGTCCAAAATTTTCAGTTCCCTCTTCTCATTTTTGAATAAATTCTATGAAAGTGCCGTATTTCTACTATAATGTTGTATGGTTACTTTTGAGATTTCAGACACACATGTAAACGTATCAGGTAACAATTTTGCTTTCATTCTGGAACCAGAATATTTGTTTTAAACTTTCTTCACAATTTACTACCTTTAAAATAATAATAAAATATTCTTTTCAAAGTATGAGATTTAAAGGACTCCACAAACAAACTTTTAGGTAAATTCGGAGAAATGTTCTCAAAGGGCGTCCTGAGGGCTTTAGTAAACTGGGATTACACGGGTCTGCAAAATCAACGCCGGTGCTCCACCTTTTGGTCATTGGAAGGTACTACGCCCCCCCCAACACACACACACACACACACACACTTACTCTGTGTGTTTCATCACTCTGCAAATGCATTTTGTGGTTCCACAAGTGCATTGCCTGCACGAAAAGTTTACTTCAGGAAATGGATTTTGTGAGTTAGAAATTTATAAATAAATGTATTTCCTCTGCAAAATGCATTTTGTAAATGATATGACCCTTTTATTCACGAAAGTAGATACATTATTAGCCTTCTGTCCACGAAAGGCATTGTGCTTCCATGAATTCTGCACACAAAAGGAAACATCACTTTCTTTCACGCACAGTAATCAAAAGTAAACTCTTTATGCTTTCATAGACACACTGTAACTAACCGCTTGCCACGTTTGATTTCTGAAAAACTAGGACACTCATTTTTTGGGGCGTTGCCACACCCACCACATGACAAACCAGCTCAACGATGAGAACCTGAGTGCAGTCTGTACCAGGAACTGAGGATGGCTGTGAGGACTATGAGGGCAGATAAGGAGGCGTTTGTTAGCAAATCGGTGAGCAGGTGGTACACCATCTCTCGTCTAGTGACCCACGTCCTGCTTACAGAGGAATCGAAGCATTACGCACATCTGAATTTGTTCCTCAGAGACTTGCAGTCAGGGCGGGTGATGGGACGGTCCTTACAGATGACACTGCAGTTGTGACCCGCTGGGCCAGCTACTTGGAGCAGTTGTTTAAAGCTGACCCTCCAGCTAGGACATTGGACATCTGAGTCCAACTAACAAAATAAATTGAAACTTAACAGTAAAATAAAAGTATAGACCTTGCTGTGTTTTACCGTCTTGTATCGTTTTGGGACACAGGATTGGATATATACCTAATGAGTTTTTTTTTTTTTTTTACTTGTTTCCTAGGTAATTGCTATCTTAGTATCTGCTTACAATAGTCTAGATAAACAGTACGACTGCACAGAGTAGTGCAGTCTTTAGTGCAGTATTTTAATCTATCAGGCTTCAGTACCTAATAGTACTTTACTATTGTAAGAAAAGTTGAAGGGTTCCCAACTCTTTGGGAAAGACGAACATGTTGTAGACTGTGTTACTGCATTACCAAAATTGAATTTTTGGCTAATTTTGCATTTTGACTAATGCAGACGTTTTTCCCAGGAAAGTTGATTGTTCGGGGGTGGCATGGTGGTGCAGTGGTTAGTACTGTTGCCTCACACCTCTAGGGCCTGGGTTCGAGTCTCTGCCTGGGTTACATGTGTGTGGAGTTTGCATGTTCTCCCCAAGTCACTGTCGGGTTTCCTCCAGGTACTTTGGTTTTCCCCCACAGTCCAAAGACATGCTGAGGCTAATTGGAGTTACTAAATTGCCCATAGGTGTGCATGTGTGAGTGAATGGAGTGTGAGTGTGCCCTGCGATGGGCTGGCCCCCCATCCTGGGTTGTTAGCTTCTGGGATAGGCTCTGGACCCCCCGTGACCCAAAAGGATAAGTGGTTTGGAAATTGGATGGAAGTTGATCTGAAAGTTTTTTCCTTCATTTTTTGTTATATCTTAGCAAGTTTTATTTCATTTTCTGTCTGTGGATTTTTCTATGTGGTGATGTAATCTAACACTAAGTTCAAATTGGCTCCGGCCTGCTGCCTTGGCGACGTTAGAATGCCTGGTGATGTCAGTGACACTGACACGTCACTTAGAACTTTGGAAGCTGAAGTGCGGCTCATTACACATTTCTTGCTTTCTTCAGATCGGTCGCTGATCAGTGCTTCTCTTAAAGAAATCATGGCTACACCAGTACTAAACAGTATAGAAACATGGAAATCAGCAGGGTTTCTAGTCCTTACAATTCTAATGTGTCATATCTTGCCCCTTTTAGCTCCTCTTGCGCAAACCTGTAATTTTATTTATTTATAAATTTAAGTTTCTTTCAAACAGCCATGCTAAAAAACAGCTTATGGTGGTAGGTGGTCCACCATGGTTTTGTATGGTTAAGTCCCAGCTCTTGCTGCTCTTTGATGATTTTATGTGGGTGGGTCACCAGTTAGTCATGCTGGTATGAGCAGCTAAACCAGCCAGAATGACCATCATGGTATGACCTGCTAATAACTATCATGCGAAAACATACCTTAAGCTGGTCAACAATCATAAGTTGGTTAACTAGCTTAAACAGCTTTTAACCAGTTTTTTCAACAGGGTGTTAATTTGGAATGTGGTATTACTCGAGTGTAGAAGCATCATCCACCACTATCAGCTGAAATTATTTCCTTATATACTTCTACTACTCCTTATCTTGCTTTGTAGCTATATTTCCATATGCTTATTAAAAAAAAATTACATGCATACTTTAAGTATACGTCATTAAGGGCCCTATGCCTCAAACGACGTGACTTCTCGCGAGATTACAGCCGGAGTTCGCGTTGTACTGCTTGAGTTGCTTGCCGTGGTCCGGATGTTGTTGTTCCGACAAGGAGCTGCGGGGAAACTCTCGGGGCCGAGGTTTCTGCTACCGCTTTCGCTTTGTGTAGTCTATAGTTTCAGCTAAGACAGAATAGTATTTTGTTCACAGTTATTTTCGCATTGAAATTCACAAGTCGGGCAGGATGGAAGACTTTGACGAGATATACGAGGAAGAGGAGGACGAAGACAGGGCCGCCGAGGAGCAGCTGCTGAAGTACTCGCCGGACCCGGTGGTGGTGCGCGGATCCGGCCACGTCACTGTGTAAGGATCGGCGCGGGTGTGGGGCAGTAAGCGCAGCGCGGTCGCCTGTCCGTCTGCGGGTTCATGTTTCACGGCGTTGGAGAAAATGGCTACTGCTGTTTGGAAGATAATTGGGTTTAACAGCGGCCAGTTTGCATTTTCCTTGTCTGGGGGTTTGTTGTGTTCTCTCAATGTCTGATTCACAGAGTCTGATACTAATACGGTTACCTGGCGAACAGTGCCAAGGGCCTAGATATGACGGGCTATTAGGTGTCTGTAACGCGATGATACATTCACGTAATTTGGTGTTTAGATTGCCGCAAGGCAACAGACTCGCTGCCTGGCTGTGCGCATGCGCGTTTGTTCTGAAAACGACGTACTGTGTGTTAAAAGACACAAACGGCGGAGTTCAACTCGAAAACGATATTTGTTAAAAGTTGAGGAGACTGTTGAGGAAGTGCTGACCATTCTGCATTGCAGTGTCGTCATTTAGGGCTGGGGGGCAGCATTGGGCCAATACAATTCCTTATTCAAACAAACTGGTCTTTGTTGTTACATGAAATAGTTTATTTTGCAACAGCATATCTGTGATACATGATATATCCATCATCCTAAGGATGGAATTCCCTGGGCAGGTTGCCAGTCCAGCATGGGGAATCCATGTGCACACACTGTGCCAGTTTGCCTAACGGCGTGTTTTCAGACTAAGAAGCTGACAAACTTAAAAACTCCACACCGACACTGTGGGGTTGGGATTCCATCCCTAGAGGTATAAAATGACAATGCTATCCTTTAAGCAACCATGCTGTCCCAGTTCAGGATATTTGTTCAGTCTGTAGCTTAATCAAGCATAATTGTCTAAAGGTCAGTCATACTAAACTTATCCATTTTGGTCTGGGAACAGTTGTCTGCACGGCTGCTTGTGTTTATACTACAGTTTGCTGCGGTTAGTTGTGGTCGGTGCATGCATACAGCAGTGATATTCCCCTAGACCAGCAGAGGGCAGAGGTATTGCAACAAACACAAATGCAAGCAGTGAAGTGACACAGGTAAACTTTAATAAAAGAGAACAGTCGGAAAGTTATTAGTCTTGGCTTAGCCACTATTAAGATAATATGGCATACCACGGTATTTAGAAATCTTTATGACAATATTAATTGGTATCCACACCTCCAGTAAATTTTATTGCCAACATTTGAAAATGCCAGAATAGTGCTGCTTTTTAAAATACCGTATACCTTGGTATAATGTTTGAACAGTATGAAATATTCAATTTGCTGGTACCTCCAACCCTGCTCACACAGCTGGTCATCATATCTACAACAACAGCTATTCATAAATGATTCAGTTGTGTTTTCTGAGTTGGTCTCTTGTACATCATAAACGGTCCCTTCTGCCTTTGTCTTTGAATTGCTCTCATTTGTTTCTTGCTTTGTTTGTAGCGTTTGCTGTTCCTGGTCCTCCACAGTTTAGCTGTGCTCATTCTTGGTTGGATCTGCGGCTGCTGTATGCATTAAATTTTGTTTAGCACATACTTTCTAAAACGCATGTCGCATTGGAATAAAGTAGGTTCGGCGAGTGCTAGGAGCATTTGGGCATTAAGAGCCTTGTTTGAGGATTTGAACCAGCAACCTTCTAATCACAGACACAACATAACCCACTGAGTCACGCACCACCCCCAAAACTACACAATGATAAATGAGAACAGTATTGTGTAACCGGTGGAGCTCTGCTGCTTTCTTAAATTTCTTCTGAAGAATCACTGATCTGTATCTCATCCACAGGTTTGGGCTCAGCAACAAGTTTGAGTCAGAATTTCCATCATCGCTGACTGGAAAAGTGAGTGTTGTTCTTAGTCTCAGGTTGCAGTTTATATTTCATGTTCATGCCGATAGAAAACTGACTGAATGTCTTGTCCCCCAGGTGGCGCCAGAGGAGTTTAAAGCTAGCATCAGCAGGGTGAACAGCTGCCTGAGGAAGACGCTGCCAGTCAATGTTCGCTGGCTGATCTGTGGCTGTTTGTGCTGCTGCTGCTCGCTGGGGCTCAGTATGTGGCCGGTCATCTGTCTCAGCAAGAGGGTGAGCATCCAGCCATATCTCTATGCGTGACATTTACACTGCAGTATATTGCTTTATAGTCTAATGCCGCTTACCCACTGACATACAGGAACAGACCCGTACCTGAGCCGTACCATACCGCAAAGGGGCTAGTTACAGGGTGGTTCCAGCTCGCTTCGCTTTTCCACCACAGAAGGGTCGGCTCGGTAAAGGCGCTGCCGGGTTTGGAGAGCGACAGTGACGTAGAACCGAAGAGATGCTTCTGTACTGTTCAAACGGTGTACACATCATGATTTACTCTCTGCTAGTTTCGTAATTTTCTAGCAAGTCTATGAGAATTTGCATCTTTTGTTGGCATGAAACTCTAGCGGAATTAGCATTCGCCTGCGTAAAATTTGCATTACGAATCCATTCCGTTCAGCCATTCTATAGTACGTTTTTAAGTAGGAGGTTGGAAATGTTCAAGTTGTGAGTTATTGGAAATTCATAACTACAGCGTCGAGTGCAATGCTACTATTAATGAATAATATATAGAATATTCCTTTTTTCCTTCAGATAATCTGTTCACAGAACATCGGTATCGCTGTGCATTTCGACCAATCAGGTGGTGTTGATGCAACCAGCTCGTTCTGTCACACTTTCGGCACCCAATAGTAAGCTGGGCTACATCAGCTCGGTTACGGCTCGGTTCTTGGTAGCAGTGGGAATAAGCATTTATGTCAGAGATCACCCTCCACCGATGTACTGTTTGTACCGCAGTGTCTGTTGGTTCTACTTTAGTCTCATTGCTTTGGTAGGTTTATCAGTCTATGCCGCAAAGCCTCTAAGATGTCAGGCTCAATAACCAACCATGAAGTTGTTGGGTCCTGCTCTTTGTATTTAAAGGTTATTTTTGTATTATTTTTTTTTTATAGACCCGACGGTCCATAGAGAAGTTGCTGGAGTGGGAAAACAGCAGGCTGTACCACAAGGTGAGTACGGTAGGGAGAGAAGTAAAGAGCTGTAACGTGTGTTGGGAATGCTTAGGTTCTGCTATTGCAGACAGAGTGGAGCCATAACCTTCCAGTATGTCTCCACAGCTTTGTCTGCATTGGAAACTGAGCCAGAGGAAATGTGAGACCAACAACATGATGGAATATGTAAGTTTTGCTCCCCAAAATCGGCATCTTCTGAAATGTAGGATCCGTCCTTTGCTTGGCACCTATCTGTAAAGAGAGCGAAGCGATCGACCTTTAATATTAGCTTAAATGTAGACTGCGTTTGAATCTGGCTGGCTGGTAGATTATCACGTAAATCTGAATTCCAGTGTAAGAAAGCTTTGCTTCATACTGGTAATGGGTTCTGCCATATTAGACAGGATTTAGGAGAATAGCAGTTTTCCAGTCTTGGTAATTGTTAGTGGCAATTAAAATAGAAGCTTTAGCTGTATATTTAGTAGTATATCGACTTGCATATTTGTAACATGATGTGGTTGGGGGTCATTATTCTGTTGCGACATGAATTCTGTCGCTGAAGTTCTGTTTGGGATGGTGGCATCAGGGTGGCGGGCAGTGCTTGGCCCAGTTCAGCTTAATACGGAATGATAATGTTGCACATTGTTTAGTTTACACTGACCAGTGTTCTGTCTTGTAAAGGTGGTGTTTACTCTTCAGACTGTTTGAGTATGATGTCATTTCTCTCTTTCTAGGTCATACTCATAGAATTTCTACCCAAGACTCCCATCCTACGGCCAGACTAGCTATGCATTGAGCATTGGCCTCCTCTTTCATAGGTGCCTTGTGTGGTGCTCTCCTGGTGGCTCTGGAATCACTGCGCAGGATCAGTCTGGACTTTGGATTTTCATTTTTTATTAAATCTTTATTTGTGACGCTTTTGTCACACCTCTCCATCCTGTGTTATTGCCTCTGGCTCTACCCGCTGAGCTGAAGTCATGTGTGCGCCGATGGTGCAGGAGGGTGGTGGTGGGGGGGGGGGCGTCTCCTCGGAACTAACAGAAGGAACTTTGAAACTCCATGTTCATCTTCTGAGCCATTTCTGCCGATGGCTTTCTGTATAAAACCTTCAGACAACAAGGTTTGTATCTTCAGTGACCTAAAAGTCAGATGGTTGGAGTCTGACCTGAGTTGCTATGGACACAAAGGCTTGGATTCTCTGCAGTAGAAACGTGTTGTGGTTTGGACTTTTGCCTACTAACTAGGACCTGAACCAGGGTACTTTGAACCCACTTTATTGAGGAAACCTACCCTGGACAATTTGGATCCTATTGTTCCCAGCACCAAGAACCTGAACCAGGAACCTAGAGGCTCAGGATCAGCAGATTCTTTGGAAACCCCTGTTATTCCTGTGTTTTTTTTTCTTTTCTGTTGAACGGGTGGTAGATGTTAGTAGTGCAACCTTTTGCTGTTTGTGTGTGGAAATCACTGCTATACACATTTCCACCCCTCTGGGAAAGAGTCTCTTGAGGGCAGCTGTTTGCCTTACCGACCTTGGGACCCCGTCCGCCTGACCTATCAACATGACATTGAGAGGCTGATCAGCTCTGATCTGAGCTAGAGGGGCTTTGGAGGCCATTTGGACTGTTTAACTGCATTGAACCTGGTCTTGGCCAAGACATTTACTCTCTGTGTGTCTGAAATAGGATTTTGAATCGTCAGAAGAATATGCACATTTGCCTTTTGAGCAAGTATATAGGCAAAAGCAGCCATTTTCATTCTGTATCAGCATTGGTTTCTTCCTTTGCCCAGTTATAAAATGTTTTTTTTTTTAATTTAACGTGAAAGAATATTTTTGTATCCCTCAGGTGAGGCTGGAATGTTGTGTTTTACATGGTGGTTCAGCAATTGTAATGCTCAATCCACAGCCTGCATGGCTGAAAGCACAGAACTCATTTATCCTGTTGGTTTTGATTTTATGGATTCAGAAGTTAAGAACACGAAGGGCAGGATTACTGAACCGAAGCAGTGTTTAGTATTTAATAAATGAATTTGAATTCTGAATTGTTCTGAAATGTTTGTTTGTATTAACGTGGGTCTGTTTATCTGGCTACAGTGTGCCCATACACCATTTGCTCAGTGTGAGAGTCTTCCTGTTTTTATTTGGTGAGTGACACATACATAAATGCCCCTGGATAAGCTTAAGTTTAAAATGAACATCTTGTAACCTTCAGAATAATTCAAGGACAAGGCGGAGTTACAGCTGTAATCCTCTGAGATAGTGGCTGTATGCTAACAGAGTGCAAAGCAGAGGGTTGATTTTGGGCATTGATTACATCCCTACTGCCAAGTAATGCTGCACATCGTCAAATGGGATTACAAGATGTTTCTCCTACCAGGGTCCACTGGTCACAGCCTGCTCTTCGACATCTTATTTCCCCTGTTAATTGCCATCTTTGAGTTTTTGATTATTGCTGCGAATGAAATTTAAAGATAGATATTCTGTCCTTAAGCTGTCCAGTGGTTAGCGGTGTTGCCTCGCATCTCCTGCTTTGGACGTTTGAATTCCACCTCTGTGTCGATATGTTCTCCCCATGTTCCGTACGATTCCTCCCATAGTACCAGGCCAAGTTGTCAGGTTAACTGGTGTCAGTAATTTTCCCACGTTTGCCTACAGCATTGCGCTGATGACATCCATGGCCCTGAGTAGGCAGGTCAACAGAATTCGGGCATTAGTTCTAGAGATACACCGATACGATATTTGGATTGGTATCGGCACTGATCCAGACCTATTTCACCGATCAGGTATCGGTAATACGTGGCCGATCCACGTCCATTACTTATTTAGTTTTTGGCAGTCTCTAAAAAGATAGCTCCTGTTTTGTGTTAAATCTATTTGTACGATCAATCGCTCTTTCCCATTTTGGATGTGTTTTTTGCGGCATTCAAGCTGAACATTAATGCTGCCATTCCGTTGTTTTGCTACTCAGTGGGTATGAGAGGAGTGACGTCCAGCTACTGTGACGTCATGCGCACATCCTTCGCAGTACGAGGAGCGTAAAATCATCACAGGTTGACGAACCTAGAAGTACTTTACGCTTTTAACAGCAACTAGTAACAGTGATTTGCAATCTTTGTAAAAGCAAAGTTTTCAGAGATGGGAGTAGCGTTTAGTGGAAAATCCCACTAAACAAATTGCACGCAACTGTGCAAGACAATGCAAGTAATATGAAAAAAGCAATGGATGGTGTGGGAGTCGCTTGCTTGGGCTGTTCTGCGCACGCGCTACAACTTGTGATACAGTGGTAGTGTAAGTGATGCTGTTGCCAGTGGAAGAAAAAATGTGTGGCATTGTAAGCATTTGACACTTGCGTATCCTTACTTGAAAGATATTCAAATAGGACTGTAAAATGCCTCAAACGCTTAAGACGATGTACAAACGAGGTGGAACAGTACGTTATGTATGTTTCTAGTAGCCTAATTAAAGATCTTTTGGCGTACATTTTTTCATCTGTATTTACTAGTTTAAAAATATTAAATGTTTATACTTTATATATTATTATATTAAAATATTAAAGTAAAAGGAGCTCTTGTATCGGAATCGGATTGTAACTGGAAAAATGTGAATCGACCCACCCCTAATTAGTTCTTGGGGGGGGGGGGGGCGGGGGTGCTGTGACTAAGCAGGATCGCCACAGCATTGTCAGAACCAAGTGCATCCAATTTACTGGTTAGCCAAAATCCCCTTTCTGAGAAGTGGTATGTTTCACTAGCGGCGTGACTTTTAGTTTAAATGCGACATTTTGAACTACTTCTTAAATATTATTATATTACACATTTTATCAAGACTCACCATAACAGTGAGAACTAAGATGATTGTGGGGAAAAAAAAACATACAACTAGTAATTTTTAGAAAATAAAACGAAGTATGCCCTTTGAAGTGAAATGGTTAAATTGAAAGAACCTTGATTTATTTTCGTACTCCAAAGTAATTGGCTAGTGCAAGCTTAGTTTTTGTAAAAACAAAAAAATCAGTGAAACTCGTGCTTTGATATCTGGGAGGCTGTGGCGTGTCTGGGGACAACTTGAAAACCAGGAATCTGGAGCAGATTTGTTTAATTGATGAATGTAAAGTGTCTTTTGCTATTATCTTTTTCAGCCAGCAGGGGGTGATGTTATCAAATATCAAATAACTTTGGTGGGGGGAATATCAGCAGAATATATATATTTTTTTTGTATGAAATAATCACTTTGAAATTTTGTAATAGATGTATGTCATGTCAATATTTCCTTCAGTATGATTCATATTCAGGCAGGAGTTCTGTTAGGGGTATAGGAGAACTTATTGTGATTGGGCTGTTTTACATACAGAGCCAGGAATGATTGTGATTGAGCAGTCTTACAGACAGAGCCAGGAATGATTGTGATTGGGCAGTCTTACAGACAGAGCCAGGAATGATTGTGATTGGGTGGTCTTCCATTAACAAGCAGAAATTCTATTGGAGAAGCATAAATGAGCTTATTGTGACTGCATATTGAGCACAGGTGTGTGGGATACAGTTCCATGTGCGCATTACCGCAGCACTATAAAAGCAGTAAGTAAATAGTTCTAGGGGCAGGTAATTCCACAGGTACAGCTGAACATCATAGCCTCTCGCACAGGTCAGAAAAAGAGGAGAACTCTGTACGGCAGCCAGGTCTGTACTGCTTTCAGGATAGTGGGTTATCCCAAGTCCGTGCTGGTAACTTTGCTTCTTTAAATACGAAATGTACTGAATTGGCTCAGATTTCTGCTGGTGACGGTAAGACTATATACCACAGGGTCTGGATTGTCTCAGTGCTGGCAAATATTTGATTTCTGATATTCAAATATATCATTGTCATCTGCACATTAAAATAATTGCAGAAGTAAGGATTGTGCTCCAGTAAGAACCTGAAGAATTCTGAGACAACATAGTATTTTCTGTTTCTGCTGGCAGAAAATGTGCCCGATAAACCTATTTAAGTAGGTCTTACTCTGCAGTCCATTTCCCCTGCTGTGTATGTGTTTGTTGTTTTTGCTCATATACTTTGTATGTATTGTTGTGTTTGTGTGTGAATGTATAATTGTACGGTTAGGATTTGTACGACTTGTGTTGATCATTGTTTCTGTTTGCACATTTCTGTGCTTGTGTGTTTTGTTTGTGGCTAAATGTGTGTAGGTGCTTCTCAGTGTGTTTGAATGTAAGCTCTGCCTTCTCCTACAATCCCTACAGACACAAAGATGGCCCCTAATGTCCCCAGTGTCGTCCTGGGCCACTCGGACGTGGTGCTGATTGAGAAGGAGCTGGAAGCTGATCTCAAAGACCAAGGAGATCCGTGGAATGTTCCTGAACTTCAGGACAATGGAATTCGGTGGTCAGGTGAGCGTGAAAGTCCCTTCGTTCGAATAACACACAAGTGTGCTATAACACCCCTTTTTGACCAAATAGTTAGCTGGGTACAGAAATCACAAGTTCCCTTAAATTATTACATGTGAAACGCTTCACGATTTATTGCAATTTTATGGAGTATTTATCCCAAAAAATGACATGATCATTTAATAAAATGTTTATGGTGCCGTTCCTGACAATGGTGTTTCCAGTGCACTTAAGGAATCCAAAGTCTCATTAGCTGCTGATAGAGCATTTTAAGGCAGCAACAATGACAATAAATAATGAATAAAGAACAGAAAACAAATGGGGGGGTTATGGCGATTTTTAAGAAATGTAAGCTTTTTTTTATGAAATAACCCAAACAGAATTTAAGTCGTCATATTTTTCTTATTTGAAAATAAGTCATTAAATTGATAGAAGAGACATTATACTTAAATATGTTTATGGTTTTCCCAAAAATGTTCTTCAGGTCCTCTTGTATTAATGTTTACGTTTTCCTTGTCATTGAATATATGATAAGTCTGTCTTGGATGATTTATATGAGCCGGCATTGCCTAAAACTGCAGAACAGACACACTGATGCAGTCTTGGTTTCTTGTCTGAGGCAGACCTAGACAGAAAAGGAAAGGCTACCAGGCTGATGGTCTCTGGCGGGAAATTCGTGCTGCTACTTGGCTTCCTCTACATGTTTGTCTGCTCCTTGGATATTCTCAGCTCTGCTTTCCAGCTCGTTGGAGGTATGAGCCGCAAAATTACACGGACGGGCAAATGTATGTCCAAATGATTTTCTGAGTGGGAGTTGGGAGCTCGTGCCACGGCTCCCGCACCTCATCACCTTCTCTTTCATCCCTTTAGATGTTTCATTATGGAAGTACTGTCATCCAGTTTACATATATAACTGACAGTGTGATTATGTCGGAGTATGTTGTTCCGGTAATGGTGTGAATAAGGATCGCTCACGTTCCTTTTAGGTAAGGCTGCGGGGGACATATTCCAGGAGAACTCCGTGCTCTCCAATCCCCTGGCAGGCTTGGTTATTGGGGTTCTTGTGACGCTCTTGGTACAGAGCTCCAGTACGTCCTCCTCCATCGTCGTCAGCATGGTGTCCTCTGGCTGTGAGTATAGAATGTTATCAGTGTATTCGTTAGACTAGCATGCAGGACCGACGGTGACACGGATGTCACATGTATTGGTTTGCATGCGTGTATATGATTCAGATTAGTGTCTCCGGGAAAATATATACATAACTGGTGCTAAGGATGGTTCTGTTCTAAGACACCCTAATTTCATTCAACGTATGAAATAAGTATGGCGGTAAGGATGGCTCTGCTTTGTCACAGTGTTACAGGTCCAGAGTGCCGTCCCTATCATCATGGGGACCAACATTGGCACTTCTGTCACCAACACTATCGTAGCCTTGACACAGGCAGGAGACCGCGATGTGTTTCGCCGGTGAGGATACGCACTACGCCGTTTTTAAACCCGGAAAACTTTGGTTTCCTGGAAACATTTTTAATGCCGTCAAATATGACGCTTCTCTGCAGGGCCTTTGCTGGAGCCACTGTGCACGATTTCTTCAACTGGCTGTCAGTGCTGGTACTGCTGCCTCTGGAGGTGGCTTCCGGGTACCTCTACAGGCTCACCGGCCTCCTGGTGAACTCGCTGCACATTCAGAGTGGCGAGCAAGCCCCCCAGCTGCTCAGCGTTATCACCGACCCGCTCACCAACGCCGTCATCCAGGTTACCGGCGCCAACGTATCGTTACAACACGTAGCATCCAGGGATGGAGAATCCATACATATCCTCTTGAGATCCAGGGGAGATGTACTGTGGCATGCAACGTAAAAGAATATATCATTTTCTATGTAAATGATGAAAAGCAGATATAGGCTTGATACATGTGCATGTGCCCAGGATAACTGAAGCACCTTTGCTTTGAATGAATGCTCTGATTGGGGAATATTTGCAAAGCCATTTTAGCTGTCAAAGGTCATGGTAAACATTGGTGAGAGTCTCTCCTCCTGGTGATGTCACAGGTTTATAATACGATTGGGGCTTAGGGTTAGGGCTTAGGGTGTAGGGCTTAGGGTTCGGATACTGCTGGGCCACCTCTGCTTACCCTCTTGTTAAATAGCCATTCCACTGGTGTCCTAGCCTTGTACTTTGCTGTGTTGAACAATAAGTATACTTCAGTTTTCTGGGCAAAGAAAATTAGGTTTTTTTTTTTTTTAGCTATTTTTCCATCTTTAAAAGTATTCTGATGTCTGATGAGAGATTTTTCAGGCACTGTGTTTTGTGGGACTGTGTTCCTTAAATTATTTTATTTTTCAAGTTTATTAATGGTAGCTGTTAATGAGGCAGTGTATATATATCCAGGCAAGGTGTCATATTTATTATTCTTAATTGACTTTGACTTTCAAAAATATGTTTGGTTACCATGTGTACATAGAGACATAAGTAATCTGACATAATACATGTAAAGCCAAAAATTTGCTCCACATTAGATGAAATTTAATTTTTTTTGTGCCTAGTTGGATGAAGATGTTTTAAACGACATTGCTACTGGGGATTCTTCAGCCAGGAACAGGAGTCTTATCAAGATATGGTGCGAAACAGAGACCAACACGGTAATATATCACAGGAACACACTATGCACAGCAATCTGAATAAGTAGTGTAAACGCAGCAGAGACTGGCGCAGCATTCAAGCAAACTAATTTGGAACCAAATAGTTCTTTCCCACATAATAGATCTGCTGCACAAAAGATCCGATTGTATTATAAGCACTCTACGTTAAACATGGTATACTGTCACACAATACAGTAAACAGAAGAGTCACTAATGACAGTAAAGATCAATGTTACTGTCACATGACACATACTATAAACATACCACAATGACAATGCATAGGTAAAAATATGATTCCCATAATAAGTACAATGTAGCAAAGCATTTAAAGGATATTGGGAATGAATGAACACTGGTCAGGTAAAAGATACCTACGTGGTTATACAGAGCACCACAGTCCATAAACACAATAACAGTTCAGAAAAGAAAAACTTTACTGTACTGCTTCCATTTGGTGAGAAGCGCAAGGCTTACAATTCTGTATTTCACATATGTCACCTTTATCTTCACATGTGGTACAATGCAGTGTCATAGTTTTGTTGTTATGGTTTTGTAAATGTTCTTGTTTTCACCTCTAATTTTCAGACCTTGCAAAATGTGACTGTGCTCAGCATAGAGAACTGCACCTCACCTGAGTTCTGCTGGGTCACCGGAAACTTAACTTGGACCCTGAAGAACGTTTCGGAGACGGTCAACCTCAAGAAGTGTATGTATGCTCTGAAATGTAATGTATATAATATTAATTAGGGCTCTGGTTTTGAATCTCTGGTTTATAGTTTGCAGTTACATAATCATGTTTATTGGTGAGTGGAGATCTCTCCAGAACCGTGCCCTTTAAATGACTCTTTGAAAGTGCTTAATTTGCTGTTGATAAACCCTGGACATTTGCTGGGACAGGCTGTACGAAGAAGATCCCGGCAAGGGTACTATGATCAGGAGCCAAATCTCTGCAGTAAATTTTCATTAGAGTGATACTTTTGATATAAATCATTAACTAATAACCTGGCTTTTGGCTGCTTCAGGTGCTCATATGTTTGCCAATGCCAACCTGCCAGACCTGGCAGTGGGCCTCATTCTTCTGGCGTTATCTCTGCTGCTTCTCTGTACCTGCCTCATTCTCATTGTCAAGATTCTCAACTCGGTGCTGAAAGGCCAAGTGGCTTTGGCTATCAGAAAGGTTATTAACACAGGTGAGCAAATCAGGAGTCATAATTGCACATCTGCAGGTACTCTGTCATCAGCACAACGACTCAGTCAATGAATAATCAACAGGTGTAGGCACGCTGTTTGATCTTGAGCCAGTTATTGAGTGTGTATCTGTTCATGTTCTTCCCTGGGGTCATTCAGAAGGACATATTGTGCTAAAATATTGCCTGTGGATGCCCACATAAGAGAATTTTCACTGTATTTATGCATGAGAGATTGTTTACATGTAGGATTGAATTACTTATTCATAAAAAAGAATGCAGAACCATCGCAGTTTGGACCTGATTATTGCTAAATTGTGTTTATATTGCCAGTGAGCCAATGCTGCATGTTCATCAGAGAATGTGATATTTTCCCTAAAATTCCCTAAAGTCACCTTCTTCCTTCTGCCTACTGCCCTTCAGATTTCCCCTTCCCCTTCAGTTGGGTGACGGGCTACCTAGCCATCGTTGTCGGGGCAGGAATGACCTTTGTCGTCCAGAGCAGCTCTGTGTTTACTTCTGCGATCACACCTCTGGTTGGTGAGTGATGCTCACGTCTTACTGGCTGGTTTATGTCTTAATGTCTCAATAATAATAACAATAACAGTTATTTATGTAATGCTTTTCTCACACTCAAGGATGCTTTATGACGCATACGGTCCGATCCCTGCAGGTATTGGTGTGATCAGCATAGAAAGGGCTTACCCTCTGTCTCTGGGCGCCAACATCGGAACCACCACCACTGCCATCCTGGCAGCCCTGGCTGGCCCCGCAGGCACGCTCAGCAGCTCCCTTCAGGTAGCAGCTTCTCAGGTCGCACGTTATCACGGGCAGCGTAAGAGTATACAGCTCTGGAAACAAATTAAGAAACCACCGCAGAATTTTTCAGTTTCACTCATTTCTCAAATAATGATAATATGTCTGTGTAAAATGTATTTTTTGCAAACTCCAACCTGTTTTTTTCCTTGATTGATTCTTCCTTGCTTTATGGGAGTTCAGTCCAGCATCTAGGAGCCTGTTACGAACTGCCCAAGCAGTGCACTTCACACCATTTAATGTTTCTCATTCATTTTGAAGGTCACTTGAGGTCATCCTCCAATTTATGATCACTGCCGGATAAGTTGACAGTCATCTCTGGCATTAGAAAGTTACTTCCGCCCTCTACCTGGCTGGTTTTTGGTGGTTCCCAGTGTCTCCTGCTTCACCTTATTCTTGTGTCCTGCTGTCTTAGAAACTTGGACCATCGAAGTAGCCTGCCTCGCAGTGTAGCCTTCTGCCAGCAGAACCATGATTAAGGCAGGATTTAAAAATGCAGATTTTTTTTAAAAAATACAGAGTGGTCTCTTAATTTTTTTCCGGAGCTGTGCATTTCTTGAAAGACCTCATTTCTCAGTTTCTCATTTGCAGCAGTCAATAAAGTATGCAGAACGTAAACAAATAGTAAAATTGAACAACAAAATTCTAGATTGGAAAACGCCACACCCCTGTAAGATAAGACAGACTCTTAGCCCCTGCGTTCCCTTACCTCGTGTGTGTTTGCCTGCTGTCTCCCTGCCCAGATCGCCCTGGTACACCTTTTCTTCAATGTCAGCGGCATCATGCTCTGGTACACCCTGCCTTGTATGCGCTTTCCAGTCCAGCTGGCCAAGGCCTTGGGAAACTGTACTGCCAAGTACCGCTGGTTTGCGGTTCTCTACATCTTTTTCTGCTTCGTCTTCTTTCCACTGGTAGTGTTCGGCTTGTCGTTAGCCGGCTGGTGGGCACTGATCAGTGTTGGGGTGCCTTTTATTGTGCTATTGCTTTTTATTACCCTCGTCAATGTCATGCAGTCTCGGCGCCCCCGGTGGTTGCCCCGCGTACTGCGCACATGGGACTTCCTGCCCTACTGGATGCACTCACTTCAGCCACTGGACCGTCTGGTTACTGTGGTACTGGCCCACTGCAACTGCATCTGCTGCAGAAGGCCCCCAGAAGAGGACAAAGCTGGGACGGCAGGCAGCCCAGTGCAGCCCCCGGAGGTTAACCCAGGAACTATCCAACATGGAGCTGCCAAATGCACTCATTTATAACAGTTATAATGCAGTTATAATACAATTACTGCAGTAGCTGTTTCCACAGCTGTTGAAAGGCTGAAACCTGTGACTCCTCTGAGGAGTAGCTGTACTGCTTCCAAATAGATAGGGAAGTTATCAAATGTGGTTTTATGATACTTTGGTTCAGCATAACTTATGTTTGCAAAATTGACTTTTGACTCTCATGCTGGGCCCTTATCCAAAACAGGGTTGCACTGAGTTTTGGAGCCTATCTTAAGGAACGTGGGTCACAAGTAGGGAAGACTGGACGCAACGCCATGGTGCAAACACTGCAAGCTGGCCGTTTACCTACTTAGCTGTGACATTCATTTGTCTGACTTGTAGCTATCCTGGATACATTGAAAATAACTGGAATCTAATGCCTTATTTAAAACAGACCAAGTTATCAATCAGTTTTATTTTGCATGGGGCCTGTTTCACAAAATTACATTGTCTCAAAGCACTTTACATTATCCCTGCCCAAAGACCCCAGTGAGCAAGCCAGAGGTGACAGTGGCAAGGAAAAACTCCCTAGAAGGAAGGAACCAGATTCAAAGGGGGAGCCCATCCTGCAGGGGCCGGCAGAGGAAGCCAAATGAACAGGATGGCAAAGTCCCAATTCACACTGTCCACATCTTAAGATTTTACAAAATCATACAATTGTGACTAATGTCTTGCTTAATCAGTGGCTCAGTGATTTATGGGAGAAACATCTAACACCATCTGAGGTAAAACCTGAAATCAAGACCCCATACCAAAACTTTTGTTGTTACTATATAAAATAGCGTAAAAGACAAATTAATAATTTCTGTGAAATATAATCAAAATAAAATACCTCAATGCTTTGGTTGCATAAGTGTACACTCCCCTTAATACTTTGTGCAAGTATGTTTCACTTTGATGACAGTATGTTTGTTTGGTTAGCCGACTGGGGTAGTAACCTGGGGTTCCTGCTCTTCTATGCTCTCGTTCCGGCGCATGATACCATGACTATAAAAGCCTTATGTGAAACACCAAGCTGGTAGCTGTATGAGAAACTGAAGGCACACAGACCCTCCCCTCTTAGGTTAATCTTTCATCTCAATGCTGTTAATCACCTTGTTGTACCATTGAATCCCTGACAAATCTATCAAGTCGAGGCATTTACTATCTCAGTGGTCTGTTGGGTCCAGTGTAGTATCTGGGGGTAATAAAGCAAGAATGAGCTGCAATATACTGTGATCAGTGTTGGAACAAGATGAAAGTCTTTATCACACTTCATGATTTTAATCTGTTATTCAGGAGTAACAAACAGATTCCATGTGACTATAACCACAGACCAGTATAAAAACACACGCCTTGATTCTCAAAATTGGCTAGAAAAAGTACATTTTTTAAAACACTTTTGTTTACCAAAGTGCTGCACAAAGATGAATAAAGCAGCTAAAATAGTACATACACAAAATGAAACGTTCAATGACGTGACTAACTGCTGCAAACAGATATAAACAGTAAAACATCAAAATGTCTGAAAAGCCCTAGAATAGAAAGATGTTTTAAGACTGGATTTGAAAGAAGAGATATTCAGAGAGGCTCTAATATGAGGTGGTAGACTATTCCCCAGCTGTGGACCATAAACTGCAAAAGCACAATCCCCATTACATTTTAAGTGAGACCGGGAGGCAAGCAGGAGAAGATCATGTGGTGACCTCAACGTTCGAGCGGTCGATTTGCGGTGAAGGGGTTTGCATACGTAAGATGGCGCCAGACCATTTAAGGCCTTGAATACAAACAATAAAACTTTAAACTGTATCCTGAAGCTAACTGGAAGCCAGTAGAGTAATGCTAGGACTGGAGTGATATGTTCTTTTGGTACCAATCAGCAGTCTAGCAGCTACTTTTGTGCTAACTGTCAATGACATAACGATGACTTAAACAAACCCGAGTAAAGGGAATTACTGTAATTGAGTTGAGATGATATAAAAGCATGGATGACTTTCTCTAGATTGTTAAAAGGCAGAACAGGTTTAATTTTTGAAACCAGAAGAAGTTAGTAAAATGTTCCTCTGACCGCACAGTTAATTTCCTTATCAAATCTCAGATCAGAATCAAAAAGCACTTCCAAATTCTTGACATATGGTTTAGCATAAGATACTATTGGGCCTAACTTATGTGACAGCAGTGAAGTAGAAGCGCGAGGATGCAAATAGAATTGTGTCTTTTATCTTCATTTAACTGTAAAAAAATATTTGCCAATGCTTAACATCCTGCAAGCACTTTTTTGAACTTTGTTAAGGTACAGGTATCTGTTGGTTCTAGAAGTCTCTGTATGGCTGTTAAACACAGGCTGAGAAGTGTCTGTATGGCTGTTAAACACAG